GGCCCTTCCCAGGGTGAGTGTGGGTTTGACTCTGGGAACAAAATGAGAGAAATGTGATGTTTTTTTCCCTGTGGCTCCTGTTCACATGGCCAGGTCCTTGGAGCCAGGAGCTAGTGCCTGTAAGGTTCCCAGTAGTCTTGGGGCCAGCCACCACCTTAAGTAACCTTTGGGACTGACTATAGCTCAAACCTCTACCTTTGGGGACAGAAGCCAAGCAGGTTCAGCCTGGCAAACCTCAGCATTTCCAGGGGCATCAGTTGGGATGAGGGATGCTTTATCCCCAAAGCATGTCAGTGATTGTGACAGAGATGATAGTGGAGTCCCCTCTGTTTTCTGCCCTGTTCTGACCTCTGACATCCATTATTTCATCCAGAACCCCTTTTCAGATGAGAGAACTTCGGCTCACCGATGTGTGTTTGCCTGGGGCCACACGGCTTTGAGCTGGCAGGTGCAGGAGGGCCAGAGCAGGCCTAGAGCAAACTACATCCTGAGAGGTTCCCAGGCTATGAAGAGGGGCGATCCTTTGGAGAGAGCTGGGAGAATAAAGTCCTTCCTCAGGTCCTGCAGGGAGGGTCTGGGTTTGGGGCTCAGCCCTGCTCTTTCTAGTTGTGTGATGGAGGGTAACTCTCCCATAAGCCTTGGTTTGTCCATCTGCAAAATGGGAATAATGATGGTTCCTGAGTTGGGGGGCTCAAAGCCTGGGGGTCCAAAGGCACATGTGGTTGCTGTTACAATCATAACAGTATTTACAGTGAGTGGTTGCAGTGAGTTTGGGCTGTGGACCAGACCACCCTGCCCTGCCTGCTCTGTCCTACTCTGTCCTATGGTCACAGGAGAGTTGAGGTTGGGGACAGTGGTTGGACCCACCCCTGCATGTACCTCCTTGGGCATTTGGCCTAGGATGTCTTTGTTCCAGGTTCAGGAGCAGTCTGTCAGATTAGGAAAACTGAGGCAGGGTCATTGTGGCTCCATATCTGACATTAGTAGCTGAGTGGCCTGATGCCCAAAGTTCCAAAGCCACCTGCCTGGCATAGGTGCTGGTGGGGGGCTGCCTTGGGTTTATGTAGCCGGCTCAGCTTTCCTTCCCTCCCTCCTTCCCTCCTCCCCCCTTTCTTCCTTCTTTTTTTAAGACAGGGTCTCACGCTGTTGCCCAGGTTGGAGTGCAGTGGCATCATAGCTCACTGCAGCCTCGCATTTCTGGGCTCCAGTGATCCTCCTGTCTCAGCCTCCCAAAGAGCTGGGACTACAGATATATATAACACTGGGCCTGGTTAATTTTTGTTGTGGCTCATTTGTTTATTTATTTAGAGATAGGATCTTGTTATGTTGCCTAAGCTGGTCTCGAACTCCTAGCCTCAAGCTATCTTCCCACTTTGACCTCCCAAACTATGAGGATTACAGGAGCCACCCCATCCGGCCCCCTTAAAACTCATGACTTGCCAGCCTTAAGGCTAGGCAGCTTCACTGACAGCTTCTGGGTTCTCTGGAGAGACTGGGGTGTGTGCTGTCTCATGAGGCTCCTTTTTTTGCTTCTTTTGCCTAGGCTAAGAGGCATCTGAGTCTGACATGCCCCACCCCTCAAGCTGCCTGAGCTCAGCCCTATTGGCAAAATGAGTCCCACCGGCCTCTCGGCATTTTGTGGGACAGATGAAAGAACATAGAGGATTTTGAGCTGTCGTAGAGGAGAGACCTGTTCACACTGGTGCTGCTTCATTTTGAACTTGACTCTGAGAAGGAAAGGGCCCTCTCTCTCCCCAGTGTCTCTTTGCTGGTCTATCAGCAGTGCTTGTCTTGAGGGGGGAGTGGACCTGGCAGGAGACAAAGCTTATTCTTGACTGCCTGCCTTGGGCATGAAGTGAATGGTGGAGGTGCAGATGATGAAGCTCCGGCATCCTGGCAGGGGCCTGGCAGATATGTCAAGGCGTGGTACACTACGGGCCCACCTGGGGCCTGGGGCCAAGTGGACAGCACCAGCCTGTGCAGAGGGCGGCTGCCAACAGCTCTATTGCTTTAACGTGAGTGGGAACACGGTTAGGCCAAGCTTCCTGGATGCCAGTGTCCTTGTGCCTCCAGTTTGTGACCTCAGCCAGCAGGTGCTTGCATAGTCCACTTCTTTGAGTTCGTGTCCCCCAAGGGCAAGTGTCCCCTGGAAGTGTATGGAGGTTGCTGTCGGCAAGACCAGGAGCCTTCTCACCCCACAACCAAGGGTCATTCTCAGTGGATCCAGCTGAGGAATTTACAGCATCTGCATACCCAGCCTTCTATCCTGGTGGCACAGGTGCTGGCAGGGAGTTGACAGGGCTTGAAGAGAACTACATGGGCACTGTGGGCCTCCATGGCCAGAACACCCCCCCCCCACCCCCGGGCATTCCCTTACTAATGTGTGAGGGGGGAGTCAACTGCTGGATGGGGCCACGCCCCCTCTGTGCCTCCAGGTGTGTCCTGCTCCCCTCTGCTTCCCCTCCCTCTCCCTGGCCCCTGGCACCAAGGTTGCTGCCCCTTCAGGCCAGGGCCTATCATACAGGGACCCCTGCTGGGTCTTCCATTAGGTTCTCCCTCTGGTCCCAGAGCATTCAGTTGTCACTCTTCGAGGACTATGCTGAAGCTGGGGTGCAGGTGAGCACTCCCATCTGTCTGTGTCCAGCAGTGAGGACACTCTTGTGTGCTGAGCACACTGGCCACACAGCTGGGCAGTGCAGCATCTCTTCTGTTCACTGTGACAGGCACCAAGGGCCACCCAGAGCCAGGCTGGGACCCTGACCCTCTGAACGAGCCACTGGGCCCCCTGCTTCCTCTTCCCACACCGGGACCTCCTTAGCCAGGGTCTTGGGAACACTCGCACCTGTCCCTCCCCGCTGAGCCTGGGCCAGGCCCTTGGCTTACAAAGTCTGGCCCAGTGTTCCTTCTGGTTTCTTTGTTCAGAGGGTTTTTCCTCTCCCTGCCCCATGTGAGTTTCCTGGGCTTGGACCTTAACGGTCTTGGTGGCCCAGGGACCTGAATGGTGACATTTGTGACTTACAGTGTGTTAATGCTCTTTTCTGGGAGTGGCTTTGTCACTCTGTGGACAGGGACACACACAGTCAGCTCCTCCTGCCCTTTGGGCCGAGCTTAGTGTGCCATGCAGGATTTGCCCACGCCCATTCTGCCTACAGTGGCCCGTCCATCGCGCCTGCATCCCAGTGGCCCTGCTGGCCCCACCGCCTCAGCCACTGTCTCCCCACAGTAGTCTGCGTCCCACAGGCTGCCTGGCCGGGACAGGAACAAAGGCAGCCATGTGGGCAGGGCCCCTGGAGACAGAGGGAGGGGTCGCTGGGGTGAAGAGTGCACAGGGTTGGGGGCAGGGATTCACAGGCCCCTTGGAGGAGGGGGCGTGGGCGCTGCACAAAGCAGGCCCTGTGTGTCCCCTGAATGCACGGCTTTATCCTGGGCTCCAGCAGACGGACCCAGGCCAGTCTGCCCTGGCCCTGCCTTGTCTGGGGAGACAGGAGGTGTGGCCAGGGTGACCCTGGTCTGAGGCCTGGCCTCTGCCCAAGCCCTGTTCTGTCCTCTTGGCAAGAAGCTCCAGGCTTGGGGCCCAAGTTCACACTAGGCAGTGCCCCGGCCTTTTGGGGACTTGGGAAAATGTCTCCAAAGCTCTTGGTTGGTTCATCTTCCTTCAGGCCCCTTCCAGGGTGAGGTGGGACTGTGTCCTGCCCAGGGGAGGGCTACCAGCTTTGGTCCCCGTCTCTTCATTGGTGAAACAGGGTTGATAAAAGCACCTGAGCTTGGGTGTGCTCAGCCCCTGTCAGGGACTCACAGCTGGGGACTGCTGGCTGGATCCTGCACTGTCGTGGGGTGTGGTCCTCTGTGCTGTGGGGTGTTTAAGTAGCATCCTTACCCCCCCCCCCAGTACATGCCAATAACACCCCAGCTGTGGCAGCCTGTGGTGTGGGGCGAGTGACTGCTTTAGTCTGGAGAGACTTCCTCTGCTTCACATATAACAGTCCACCGCTGTCCTCCTGGGGAAACTGAAACTAGTGCAGGAGGCGGTTGGGCCTTACAGGGTCTGGAGTTTGGGGGCCCTTGGAGTGGCCAGAGTGCATGCTGGACCTGTTTGTGGAAGAGGAAAGGAAACTTCAGCTTCTCTCTCTTGGCAGGAGGAACTGAGTCTGTGGCTCTGGGCTTAACCCATGAGTCCATCATGCCAGGGTCTGGGGTAGGCACATTCCTGTCCCCCTTGAGCAGGCACCTTGGCCTGTGCTGGCTAGTGCCCACTCGGTTGTGTCACCTCCAAAGGACCCGGCATCCTGCCTGATGCTGGGGGCTCTGCTGGCACCAAGTCTGGCCAGCTGCTGAGACGAGTTCAGGGCTCACAGGGTTGAGTCAGCAGAAACCACCCTGGCTCAGGCAGAATCAAAATAACCTTCTTCCTTTTCCAGCACTGGAGGGTTTTTCCGCCTTCTAGGGGAAAAACAACCCCCCCCCACAAAAAAAAACCCTTAAAAATGTGAGAATCGCACATCTGCAGCTGTCAGGAATGTGGTGAGGCCTCGTCACCAAGAGGAAGGGGCCTTACAACTCCCGTCCTGCTGAGGGTGGGGTGTGCGGGTGCACGTGTGGGGGGTGTGTTGTCTGTGTTTATTTGTGTTTGTTGGGGATTGCATGTCGGCATGTGAGGTGGATGCAGGTTGGCGTGCATACTCAGCTCCCCTCTGTTCACTCCACAGACTTCACACTCCTCACTCAGGGGTCTCTTCTTCCCAGCTGCTGCCCCCCAGGTGCCCGCCGACAGGTGAAGGGGCTGTCACCCTTTGCCTTAGCCTTTGTCCAGCAATTGGCAAAGGGGGTGTCTGGGCTACAGGCTCTGGCCGGTGTTGTCTTGTTGGCGTCCTCCCAGCCATCCCCCTCCACCAGTGACCTCTCTGCACCCTGGGGTCTTTGTGGTATTCTTGCTCTGCCAGGGGGTTGGAAGTTCAGAAGGGCTGAGCCCTGCGGCCTGCAGGGGTGTCTCCCAGTCTCACATGCCCCTCTCTGCCTCCACAGCGGAGCTGGAGTTCGTTCAGATCATCATAATCGTGGTGGTGATGATGGTGATGGTGGTGGTGATCACGTGTCTGCTGAGCCACTACAAGCTGTCTGCACGCTCCTTTATCAGCCGGCACGGCCAGGGCCGGAGGAGGGAAGACGCCCTATCCTCGGTAAGCAGACGCCCCTCACGGCAGCACCCGTGGTGTCTCCTGGATGTTCACAGGAACCCAGGTTCAGGGTGGGAAGATGGGCTATGAAACCTCCTGTTGCATACGTATCAGCCATCTCACTGTAAATGGGACTAAAAATGCCCTCTGGGTGGACCTCACTGAGATGCTTGAGGGATGGAGAGAGAGAGGGGTCATGAGCCTCTGCTCTCAGCTGGTTCCCAAGCCTCAGCTCTGAGCCTGCCACCGTCCTAGATCTAGGGGCACAGGCAGCCTAGACAGATCCTTGCTGTCATGGAGCTGCCATTCCAGGGGGAAGAGGAGAAAAGTTTACGGGGTGACAGTGCTGTGGCACAGCGTGGGCGGGCTTCTGTCTCCACCAAGATAACTCGGGCCAAATGGGAACAGGATGGGTGGCTGGGGAGACATCCTGGACACACACAGAGGCCCTTGAGGAGAGGGCAGAGAGATGAGGAGGGGGCATGTGACTCCACACCCCACAAGGTGGTGGGGGAAGAGATGCCTGTGGTCCTGCAGCCCTGACCCAGACAGAAGGGAGGAGGCAGCCCTGCTTTGGAGGTGTCTGGGCCTGTGGTCAGTTCCTGATCCATTCCTGATCCATTCCTTCTCTGTGAAAGGGGCCCAAGGTTGTGTTCACCTCCCAGAGGACCCAGGCCTTAGCATAGAGCAAGTGGTTATTGCTGCTGTGAAAGCGCTTCCATCCTTCCACATGGTCTTTCTCAGATCTCCACCAAGTACCCGCTGGAGCCTAGGACGCTAGGACTCCCCCTACACCAGGGAACTGGTGGTGAGCTGGTGCCAGGGGCCAGGGGCGCTGGGCGTGGCAGGGCAGGCAGGCAGGGAGGCAAGTACACCCGCAGGGCGTTGGAGGCTGTGACCAGTCACCCAGGGTGAGCAGTTCCAAGCGCTGATGGAAGAAGTAGGGAAGGGCTCTGGGGCTGAGAAGGACGTGGAGATGCACACATGGGCCCTGTTCTGCAGGTGACCCCTCATTTCGACATGTCAGGTGAGTGGTGAGCATCACTGGGCAGGTGACCACAAATGTTGACATGTCAAAAACATGGTGAGTGTCACTGGATATTCTGGAAACCCAGGAATAGCCCCCACCCCCGCCCCAAGACTCTACAAAGTCCAGGGCCGGGGGATCTGAACTGACTCCCCCTCAGGCCACACTCTGCCCGTGGCTGGTGTTCTTTGGCAGGTGGGCAGAAGTAGGGTGTGGCCTTAGTCTCTGAATGGCCTCCATTTCTGCCCCCAGGGTATGTAACTGAACAGCACGGAGGTGAGAGATAGCTGTCTCAAGGACAGGGTAGGATTATGGGAAGGGGCAGCCGGAGGGAGCCCTAGAGCTATAGGCAGGCTCTGAGCTGGGGTGTGCTGGGTATGGGGAGGACTTGCAGAACAGGCCGTGCCGGGTGTGGCCTCATCACTGCTAGGGACACCTGTGACTGGTGGCAGTGCCAAGTCTGTGGGCTGAGCCAAGTCGGCCAAGAAGTCTGTTGGCTGCAGCCCCAAGCCACCAGGCCCATCCCCAGCGGGTTTGGGCATCTCTGCTTGCGTCAGGCCCCAGCCTCAGTGCGTCACCAGGTTGTCAGGGCAAGGAGCATCTGCTCAGCACCACTGACAGGAACACTGGCACCCCAGCTGAGACCTGTGGTGTGTCCCAGCAGGTGTCTGCACGGAGGTAGAGGTAGCCCTGTGGGCAGCACCCAAGTCTTTGCTGCCAAGCAGAGCAGGAGTCTAGAAGGTCTGTCTACACAGCCACCTGCACAGATCCTCAGGGAGGCCTGGCTAGGTAAACATGGAGGCTTGTTAGGGCTAAAGCAGAATATCAGAGCTCCCCCGGGTCCCCTGCCAGACAGCTGAAAAGTCACTGAGCCCCGTGACCTCCCTTGGAGACCCAAGGCTGCAGTTTGCTTGGGCCCAGCTGGTGTCCCATCTGCCTGCCTGGACCCCTTTTCAGGGTAACCCCTGGAAGTCCCTTCTTCCCTGTATATAGCCAGCAACTTGTGACCCACCTGTCTGCCTCTCACGGACAGGTCACTCTCTCCTTCAACCCTGGATATAAGGGTGGGTAAGAGCCCAAGCTCTGGCTCATCACCTCACCTGTGACACTGGACAAGAATCTGCCCTCTCAGAGATGTCGTTTTCCCAGTGGTCAAACGGGAAAAGGAGAGCAGTCAGAGGGTGAGGCTCAGGTGCTGAGAGCCCCTCGGCACAGGGAGGCACTCCCTGCCCAGCACCATCCTAAGGGACATAGTGCTTGACAATCACTGAGTGGCCATCTAGCCAAGTTTATAAGTAGCACAAACCTCAGGTTCACTTATAAAGGAGGTCACAGTCTCACATGACCCACATCAGGGAGAAGCCTCCTGCCCTTGCTGAGGCTGCCCTTGCATCCCTGAGCTCTGCCAGGTCCCAGTTTGGACAAATGGTCCCTGCTCTGACTTTCGTCCCCTTCCCAGCCTTCGTTACCCCAAATGTTGATGAGTCATGGCTAGTGAGTCCCCCTGAACATGTCTTTGTGCAGGAGGCCAGCTCAGACCAGCTCAGCCAGCGCCTCAGATGGGGCAAACCTTTGTCCTCTTCATCCCAAATCTATCCTTGGTGTGGGTCTCCTGCTCACCCCAAGAGCCTGGGCAGCCAAGGGTTCATTCCCAGGGGCAGGACTTCAGCCAAGCCAAGGCACAGTAGTCAGCCTAGAGAGGGAGCAGAAGGCCTTGGAGGGGACACAGAAAGTCTCCCAGGTGCCTTATGTTAACCTGCATCCTAACCAGAGTCATCTTCTTTCAGCCTTGCTGTGTGCCCACCACATGTTTGGCATTCAGGGTTTGGTGGGTGGTGATCCCATTCCCAGTGAGAGGGAAGATTGTCACTGGGGTCTGAAGGGAGAATCAGGAATTTCCTTCTGGCCTTGAGGGGTTTGAAACTTTATGGGGTCTTGGCAGAGCTGTCTTCTGGGGGTCAACAAACCATGGCTTTGTGTTTTTACAAATAAAGTTTTATTGGCACACAGCTAGTGCACTTGAGTGTGTACTGCCTACAGCTGTGTTCACCTGCAGTGCCAGTGTTGTGTGTCAGAACAGAGACTGGCCCACCTACAAAGCAGAAAATATTTTTACTTGCTGGCCTTTTATGGAAACAGTTTTCAGACCCCTGGTCTAGAGAGGTCAGAGTGGGGACGTCTTGGGCATACTGATGAGCCCACCTTAAGGGAGCCCTCAAAGAGCGTGAAATACATACGCCAGCAGTTGCAGGCAAAGAGATAGCCATGTTGCAAGGGGAGGGGACAGACAAGGGAACCTGGAGGAGGTGTCTGACCCACCTCAGCAAGAGACCTCAGGGTTAGCACCTACACTGAGACTTGAGGGCGGGTTGAATCTCATCAAGACAGAGGGGTCTGGGCTCAGAGTGGGCTCAGGTTTGGAAGTGAGAGGGTGAGAGTTTTTGTTTATTGGACACCACGTGAATGAAACATGCACTGCAGTGCATCCTTGGTACCATCTTCAGCCATTATGCACCTGTTAGGGAAAGCCACTGTGACATAAGTCTGCAGAAATCTTGGGTGTGGACCTTGGTGTGGAACTTTCTCCTGGGGGGTTAAGCAGAGGAGTAGCAGGGTGGGGTGTTTGTGAGCAGGAAGTGCCATGTGGGGTGGGAGGCAGCACCTGCCCTCCTGCGGCAGAGTCTCTGTTTTACCAAGTCTGCCGGTGAATGGCCTGCCTGCGCCTTGTAGTCTGGAGGCCCCAGTAAAGGAGGCATTCACTGTCCTCCAGGCAGAGATGCTGGCAAGAGAGGTGATTCCAGCTGTCTCTTGGAGGGAAACCTCAGGGTTGGGTGCACAGAGGGGCTATCAGGAATGACATGGGTCTATCTGGCTTTTTTCCCAATCAGGGAACAAGGTGAGATGCGGCCTCTTTAAGAGGGTTTTGAGCGCCACAGAGGCCCCTAGTGGCCATTTTGGGAATTGTCTCCCTCTGGCTGTTGCCACCTGGGCTGCAGGTGAGACACGTCCTACCTGGGATCCCTCAAGAAAACATGCCCCCAGGAAAACTTAGGGAGTGACAAATATGTTCTTTATCTTGACTCTGGTGACAGGTTCTTGGTATGTACAAATGCCTGAACTTTCTGTAATTGTATACTTTGAACATGAGTTTATTGCACATCAGTTATATCTCATTGAAGGTATAAAATTAACAAACATTCTTTCCCTCAGGCCCAGATGGCATCTTGGGCAACACAGATAAATTGTTTCCAGCATGGGGGTCTCACCTTCCTGGAAGCAGCTTCAGGCCCCTGCTGGAGACTCACAGCAGAGGACATAAGCTTCCCACGGTGGTGTTGTGTCTATGCACCTGGCCCAGGGCTTGCCACAGAAGTGACATTGTCTTCTTTATTTTTTGGTGACCAGATTGTTGTTGGATGGCAGGACCTTGGGTGCTTTGTTTCACTCTCCTCTGTTTCTTCACCTATAAACTGGGATATCGGTAATAATTGATGTAGAAGAGACAGACTACAAGGACATAGCTAAATACACAGAGCGACTCCAGGAAGGACAGGTGACAGGTTGTTTCATGGGAGATAGCCTTTAGATAATGGTGTTGGAGACAGTCTACAGGGGACCCTGGAACTGAAAATAAAGGAGCTGGCCAGACAGTGAGGAGTCAGTGCAAAGGCCCCGTGGCACATTCTTAGCACATTCAGACACCAGGGAACTGGCCAGTGTGGCTGGTGGGAATTCAGAGGTGACACCCAGCACTATCATAGACTCCCTGAGGGCTATGTGGGCTCCAAGTGCGTTTTACTTTCAACCTGTTAAGCAATTTAGCGCCAAGAGGCCGGGACTGTAGTTATTCCGTGTTTTCAGAGGCAGGAGCATTGAGGTTAAGTAACTTCCTGGGCTTAGTTATAAAACTGTTGGTGTTGGTGGGAAGCTGCCTGGGGACTTAGGTGGGGGTAGGGGGTACCCTTGAATTGGGTCTGTGTTTTGGAAAGTGTAATGCTGAGTTTCCAGGAAACAGCAGCAGGAGCCAAGAGACCAGTGAGGAGGGGGTTGTTATTATGTCTTTGAAGAGGGTGGATCAGGGAAGGAAAGGGGTTTAAAGATCTATTTCTTGGGTGACTGGTCTCAGCACCATAGCCTGGTTGAGCCTTTTATTCCCCAGCCCACTGACCCTGCATGTCCTTCTCTTATACAGGAAGGATGCCTCTGGCCCTCTGAGAGCACGGTGTCAGGCAGCGGCATCCCTGAGGTGAGAGCCTGCACTGCCTCCCCGACCCCAGCCCTGCCCTGCTAGCAGCTATTGCAAGAGTATTGGCTGCCAAAGACTCAAACTCTCTTCTTAGAAGAAGTGTCCTTGCCTGGGATTGTACAGTCCCTGTCCCCTGGGGGGTGGAAGAAAAAGGCTACCCCTGTTTTAAGGGGGACTATATGGCTCTGAACACACTCCAAGACTCCTTTTCTGCAGCCCCAAGGCCCTGTCCCTCTCCCCAGTCACATGCAGCCAACCCCCTGTCCCAGGATATGCTTCGGGGGGCCTGACCTGAGACAGCCGGCCTGACTGCATTATGCTCCCTCCAGCCGCAGGTCTACACCCCGCCTCGGCCCGCCGACCGCCTGGCAGTGCCAGCCTTCGCCCAGCGTGACCGCCTCCACCGCTTCCAGCCCACGTACCCGTACCTGCAGCACGAGATCGACCTGCCACCCACCATCTCACTGTCAGATGGGGAGGAGCCCCCGCCCTACCAAGGCCCCTGCACCCTCCAGCTGCGGGACCCCGAGCAGCAGCTGGAGCTGAACCGCGAGTCTGTGCGCGCACCTCCGAACAGAACCATCTTCGACAGTGACCTGATGGATAGTGCCAGGCTGGGGGGCCCCTGCCCCCCAAGCAGTAACTCGGGCATCAGCGCCACGTGCTACGGCAGCGGTGGGCGCATGGAGGGGCCACCACCCACCTACAGCGAGGTCATCGGCCACTACCCTGGGTCTTCCTTCCAGCACCAGCAGAGCAACGGGCCACCCTCCTTACTGGAGGGTACCCGGCTCCAACACACACACATGGCCCCCCTGGAGAGCGCCGCCATCTGGAGCAAAGAGAAGGATAAACAGAAAGGACACCCCCTCTAGGGGCCTGGGGCTGGGCTGCAGCCACAGTGGGTGAAAAAGCAGAACTCTGCACTTCCTAGAAGAGGAGAGAGGGGAAGGCAGGTGACACACAGAACACGCCGAGTGTGGCCATCCTCTCCCACCTCTCTGTGTATAAATATTTACATGTGATGTCTGGTCTGAATGCACAAGCTAAGAAAGCTTGCAAAAAACCACGTTTCTTTGTTGAGCTGTGTCTTAAAGGCAGAAGAGAAAAACACATTCTACGGTAGTCTTTTTTTTTTGTTTGTTTCTAGTTGAGCTGCGTGCGTGAATGCTTATTTTCTTTCGTTTATGATGATTTCACTTAACTTTAAAGACATATTTGCACAAAACCTTTGTTTAAAGATCTGCAATATTATATATATAAATATATATAAAATAAGAGAAACCGTATGTGCGAGGGCAGGAGTATTTTTGTATTAGAAGAGGCCTATTAAAAAAAAATGTTGTTTTCTGAACTAGAAGAAGAAAAAAAAATGGCAATTTTTGAGTGCCAACTCAGAAAGTGTGTATTACCTTGTAAAGAAAAAAAAATTACAAAGCAGGGGTTTAGAGTTATTTATATAAATGTTGAGATTTTGCACTATTTTTTAATATAATTATGCCAGTGCTTGTTTGATGGAAACTTCTCTCGTGTCTGTTGAGACTTGAAGGGAGAAATGTCGGGATTTCGGAGTCGATGTCAGGCAGAGGGTGAGCTCCCTGCTGCAGAGCGCAGAGGGAGGCCGGGCAGGGCGGGCTCTCCCGAGGGGCCACGTTCCCTGCAGTGTGGATGCGTCTGTCTAGTGATGGGTTATCACCACGTTATACATTCCCTACCGGAGGAGACACATTCCCCC